CAGTGTTCACAAAAAAGGCTGCTACTCAACGAGCTCCTGCCGACGCAGCTGGGCAAGGACACTCATCACACCCGGTTCCTTCTCCATCTCCTGCCACAAACGTGGCTCCCAGTCTTTGAAACCCTCGCGAACTCCTCCCCCTTTCTTTTCCGTGTTGTGTTCTGAAGACCAGCACCGAGACAGCCAGGCCCGCAAGACATGACTCTGTTTTAGAGCTTGAGTGGCCATTTCCATTATGCTTAATCCCCCCAGCACCAGCAGTAAGGTGAACCACCAAGCTGGATCACGACCGAAAAGAAGAAGCAAGCCGCCTCGAATGGAGTATGGACCTGAGCTGGGACCGGAGGCGACGGCAGTGATAAGAGCATAGACCCACACTCCAGCAACGCTGCCGAAAATGGCCCAGAAGGCAATCTGCGTCTTGTGATGTAGCTCGACGATTCTTGAAGGCGTTAGTCAAGACGTTCACCTTGTCTGCTTCAACGTGACTTACAAAAGCTTGATGTTGATCCAAACGACACAAGCAATGAAAGTTAAAAGACCTTGCGCGTAGAGGCCGTCGTCATCAATCATCTCTGAATCGGTATATCCAGCCCAACAACCGGCGTAGACAACGAGGCCAGCGATGAGGGCGTTGCCAACCCATCCTAGATACACCGCCATGTTCAGCCCCTCACCATTCTGTCCATATCTGAACAATTCCGGAATCGTCGCCAAAGTCCGTGACTTGAGGTCCTGCTCCCAAGTTCCGAGGACGAGAATGCACACTGCCGTGAAGAAGCTGACGAATGTGAGACTTCCTGGTTCGTAAAGACTGGTTCCCGTTGCCCCCGTCTGCTCCTGAAACAGGGCCTGGGGGAAGTAGATGAATGTCTCTTTCCAAAACGTCGCAAGGATGAAGCGGGTCGTGCGGTAATAGTTCCATCGACCGTGAACCAACATCAACTTGGAAAGATATCGGAACTGAGAGATGCTAAAATCGGCAACCCGGGCCGCTTGCTGTCCCTCGCGACCGGAAATGCCAACTCCGACGTTGGCTGCGGAGATCATGGCCAGATCGTTGGCTCCGTCGCCGATCGCAAGTGTCAAGGGCTTCTTGGGTCCCCGTTTGAGCCAAGAAAAAATTCCGGAAGCCTCGCTCGGTGGGCCTTTGCGAATTGTGTTGACAAGTAAAGCCTTCTGGGCAGGAGAAGCGCGACAACAGATGACCGAGTCAACCATGGTCATGAGAGAGATGAAGAGATTGCGAAGACTGACTGCAGAGGGCTCTTCAATGCAAGTCAGAGTCTCTCCATCAATGACCACCGCTGCGTGCGCACGCGAAGGATCAGAATACGACGGTCCCAGGCGATACTGAACTGCATCTGTGATGCCTGTCAGCTGCAGTTGCAGATCACCTTCCTTCACGTCGATGACGAAAAGGGATGTATCCGGGCCACAGATACGCGTGGAGTGTGCGATGTTGATTGCGGTTTCTCGCTTGTCGCCGGTGAGCATCCAAATCTTGATCCTCGCCTGGCGCAATTTCTCGATGGTCTCGGGAACGCCCTTCTGCAACTTGTCCTCAACAGCTGATGCGCCAACAAGGTCAAAAGACTGCTCGAGCAGATCGCTCACATCCTCGATACGCTGCTGCCTATCCTCGAGACTAGTCTCTGCCTCAAGATAGCGCTGCTTCCAGTTGTGGTATTCTGCTGGCTCCAGGAATCTGCCGGCGTAGATGAGCGTCCTCAGACCCTCCGTGGCATACTCGTCAATTCGTGCAAAGCATTGACGAATGTTTTGAGCGTCATCTAGTAATTGAGGGTTCTCCAAAAATTGAAACCGAGATTGTTGTCCCGCTGTGGACCTCGTCGCATTGGCGCGGAGCGGCTGAGGCTGAAGACGAATCCACGAGTCTTCGTTGTTTGCTGTTGGCTGACTGTACTCCGAGCGATCGTCCATATCCCCCAACTCGGCGATAGTCTCTTCAAATTGAGGTGTCTTATGTGTGCTCCAACGAGCAGAGATGGTTCGCGCCCCCTTGAAACCATCCTCGTTGCTGCTAGGGGCTCCTGTCATGTCCGACGGAGCAGATCGAAGACGAGGCAAGATGATGCTGTCGGCGCCTTTGCAAATGAGCCATAATCTGCCGTCAGGGCAGCGAACAACGATGGACATCCTCTTCCGCTTGCTGCTGAACTCGATAACGTCCAAGATCTCGTAGATGGTTTGAGAAGAGCTACCGTCTACGTGGGGCATCTGTACAGTGACCGACTGCGATGAGCGTTGCGTGACGATGAATCCCAGATCTCGCGCACCTCTGACTAGAGCAAGTTCATCCGGAGAAGAGGCCTGAAAGTCCATCTCTCCATCTTCCTTCCTCTCAGGCAAACATGTATGACATAGCGCCATCGCAAGAATGTAGCGCATAGCCTTGGTGGCAAATGGAGAGTTCGGTCGTGCTCGGATGTACTCCAGCATATCGTCGGTTGTAAGATCCGCTGCTTGGTCTCCAAACTCGTCTGAGTCTGCTGCAAGGTCCATCCGATGCAGCCAGCTCGTGCCAGCGATATTGATGCGCCGTAGCTTCATGATGTTGTCAGTCAGAGTGCCTGTCTTGTCGCTCAAAACGTAGCTGATCTGACCAAGGTCGTCCAAGTTATTGGTGTTGTTGACGCCAGCGGTAGTATCCGTCTCCTTATGGTACATATCCAGATCATTACCAATGAGATTCATCTGGCCGAGCTTGATAGCCTCGAGGCCCACGTAGAGAGACAATGGGATCACGTTGTTGAACATGATGATGAAGCCAGCAAAAATGTCGAGGAACGGGATTGACGTGTTCTCGAGGTACCATGCAAACCGCTCTTGCTTGTCCTTCCAGACAACATACGCCACAGTCGCAATAGCCGAACTGAGTAGCACGTACATCATGAGGAAAACCACAATCTTGTTGGTCATGCTCTCTAACGCTGGCCGCTTCGGCTTCGTCGACTTGTTGGCATTCATCCTGATCTTGCACTCCTCGCCGGTATTGATGACAATCCCAACAGCACAAGAGGTATTCCGAATCGTGCTGCCGCGGTAAATGACTTCGTTGATCGTCAAGGGGCGAGTGAGATCATCGACTGTCAGCTTGCTATCGAATCGGTACAGGTCTGCATTGGGATCCTCGGTAGTCAGGTGCGCTGGACATGTTGCGATGCCTTCGATGGTGCTGCAGTCGGGTAGCGTCGATGGTCGCTGTTTCGCCTTCAGGCTCGTTTCGCCGTCGAGAGCCATCGTATCCACGTAGGCAAACCCGTTCTCGCCATCCGCATGAAGGAGCACGATGTCAGCTGGGACGTCGTCATCTCTGGAGAGCATAATGACGTCCCCGACTTTGATATCTCTCCATGCCGACCGCATCCATTGCAACCCAGTCGCGTTGGAGCCGCCGTAGTACTGCGCACCCATTGGTAGCGACCCCTTCGCACCTGACGCAGCATCTCGAAGAACCACAGCGTCCCGGTTGTTCTCGGCCACGTCCTGTCGATGTCTCTTCCAGTCGTAGTAGCCTTCTTTGGCGATGATGAGGGAGAGGAAAATGAGCAAGGGAATAAGGGTAGTGAATCTGCCGGTGGTGCTGAAGCCAGGAATCACCTGTAGTATTGAGATCACCAACATATAGGCGTTGGCCAAGCGTGAGAATTGGTATAACAATTGCCGTGGTAGGAAGTCGAAGACATTGTACTTTGACGTCTTGATAGCATTGGATATGTATGGTTTTCGGCGACGCTCGTCTTGTAGGGGCTGTCGGTGACTTAGCCCAATGGGGATATGACGACCATTTGCAGAAGGAGGTAATGGACGCCGTTGGAAAAGCGAACTAATGGACCAGCCCTTCTTGTTTTGCAGCATTGTTGTGGTCTTCTCTATGGAGGGCCTGTAAGCTCAAGGCTAGCAGAGTCGCAAGTTTTGGACTGGGAGAATGAGACTGCCGGTTGAAGACTGTCGAATTGGGAAGATTCCGTAGATGTGCAGTAGAGATTCCTGATGATACGCCCGTTGGGTGGACTTGAATCCTCTGAAGAAGATGTTCTAATGATGACGGCTAGCATAAGCATTCAGATGACAGGACCTGGGAGGCTATTTCCAATTTGATTCAAAGTCGATCTCATTATGTTCAATTACAAAAACCAATTTTACCTTCGTCTTCGTTAAACACATTGCTCAGTTATCCGGCCCGCAAGCCAAGGATACTGCGGCGTGTCGAAGAATAGTTCCGATACAGTTGCACTACGAATCCCTGCATCCTCCGCACGAACCAGCCCCTGGCCAAAGGCACTTCGAAAGAGAAAACGATAACGAGATTCTTGGCACTGTAACCACGATTGGTTGGCGTTAGACGAACTCAGCCCTGCCGATCCCTAGCGGACATTGTAATGCCCAGCTTCGCGCAGCAAAAACGCGCGTAACCCTCCGTAATGTCAAACACTGCCACAATTCGGGCGGTTTCTGCCACTACAAGCTAGATTTACACGGGATTTAGACGGCATCGGCATTCGATGCCGCAACAACTGCACATTTGAAGATCCACCCCTGCCTCAATTTACCTCTTGGCCTGACTCGTTTTCAGCTTGCATTCTCCCTTGCTTCGCCGCTGCCTATGGTTAAGGTTTCACCCTCTCTACGTAGGCGGCGCCTAACGGGCGATCGAAACTGAATTTGGTTCTTATCATATTGCTTTTCGAGACTTTGCTTTGAGCAGTGGAGGTCCGTAATTGATGAGACACGAGCATAGCCAGCTACGGGATAATCTCAAACATCTTCACGTCGACGATGAGTGGGATATTTGTCCTGAACATGCATAGATGTATCCTATCGCCAGCGTCTCGACCGCTTCCATCTCTCTGAAGGTGGCTGCTCTCATAGACCTTTGCCAATTGCATTTCTAAAAGCCTCAGCACACTTTACCCGCTTTATCCCCCGTTCAGAACAACAGCCTCTCTTCATCGAAACACCTCTGCACATCTGCAATGGCGCGTCTTCGACCTGGGAAGGAAGTTGCGGGTGAGAAGACAAACAAGCCAAAGGACACACCTTTTAAACAGCAGCGTATGAAGGCATGGGAGTATGTAGAATCTGGTCCACGCATCATGTTCTCCTGCTGACTGGCCAGGCCCATTCTCACGCCGAAAACATCAATCAGAATTTTTCTCTTCATTGGGATTATCTTTCTTGCCATCGGAATTTTCTGGCTTGTCGTAAACGATCAGGTATGTGCGCCTAGATCTGCCAGAATTTGAGATTCGCATGATTCTTATCTTTGTCGCAGGTCCGGGAAATCCGACTGGATTATACGAAATGCCACGAAATTGAATCATACGACGAGCTCGAGGTGATGCCACCAGATAATGTGGAAAAGAAGTTCAAAGCATCTTCCGCGGGACAGCTGGTGGACCAGTGGAAGCGGTCGAACAAATCTTTGACTTTCGATCGCGTCACCAAGAACTACACACTTTGCACCATGGAGTTCTTCCTCCCTGAAGAGTTGCAACCACCTGTGCTGTATTACTACCGTCTTACAAATTTCCATCAGAATCACCGCGAGTATGTCAACTCTCGTGACAAGAAACAGTTGATGGGCGACAGCGTCAGCATCAACGCCATCAAATCGTCTGATTGTGGGCCTCTGAAGACGCGACAGACAGAGGACGGGTCGGAGGAGATCATCTTTCCTTGTGGAATGATTGCCAATTCGTACTTCAACGACACCTTCCACGATCCGATCCGTCTGCCCTCTTCGAACGGCTCAAACCAGACGCATACATACAATATGTCCCGAACTGGCATCGCCAAAGATATCGACAGGGCAATCTATCGATCGAGTAGCTACCAGATACCTGCAGAAGCCGGCGGAAACGATACCGTAATTGTTCCTCCCCCTGGATGGGTCGAGCGATTTCCGAACGGATACCATGCTGGCAACATGTTCAACCCGGCGGAGGATGAATCTTTCATGGTTTGGATGCGAACATCGGCCGGGAACAGGTTTGCGAAGCTTGCCATGCGCAATAACGATGACGCCATGGAAAGAGGAATGTACCGCATCGAAGTCATTTCACGTAAGGCACAGGGACTGTTTCTGTGATCCAAGCAACCACTGACATTTGCTCAACCAGACTTCCCGATCCACAAGAATCACGGAACAAAATCGATCATCATCTCCACAAACTCAGCGGTCGGAAGACGCAACGAATTTGTGGGAAGAGCTTACACGGCTTTGGGCGCCTTTTCTGTATTTGCCGCCTTCCTTTTTGCACTTACATTGAGATATCGGCCAAGGAAGCTTTCGGAACACGACTATCTACATCGTAGTAACATATTGCTTCGAAATCGGAGCGCAAGTCTTTGAGTTTGTTTGCTTTTTTGTCGATTGAAGTTCGCTTTTGGATAGATCAACTGGAGACATATATCATTGCATTGAGCCTTCGTTTGGTCTCGTTCCTGGATAAATACTTTGCACGACATCTTCCTCGTAACATCGACAGCTGGTCTTGGTAAATTGAGAGAATTTGTTTGGTCAAAACTCTCGAATCACCCCAATCGGGAATTATTGCAGCCTGTAGACAATGCGCAGAAACTCGCTTGCATGCAAGATCCTTTTGCTCTGAACCAATAACAGTCGCGGGCGAAGATCAGGGAGGGGTTAACAGAAAAGGGTATCACCAGTGTTGGCTGCCGGCGATCCCTGAACGAACCTCAGCCTGATCAAGAACTTCACCCACAATTTACAGTCTCCACCGCAGCAGTTGGGTCTGGGTCTCTGCGGTAGAAGAAAATCCGAACAACGTTATCGACTTTGGATAACCGCGTCGTATCGCCATGAACATCGCTCATCGCGACGTCGGACAGGCCCCGCCCGTGGTGGCCAAGGGCAGGATCTACGCGACGGAGGAGCTCTGGACCTGTCATCAAGAGGTCATCACCCGGCTGTACAAAGACGAGAACAGGCCGTTGAAGGAAGTAAGGCAGATTATGGAGACTGAGTACTTCTTCCACGCAACGTACGTCCAAGAGCCTGCCGTCGGGCCCTGGAGACACGAGATCCAGGGGTGTCGACCTGGATTAAACAGGAGTCGAGAACATTGCGGGCTAACAGTTTCAACCAAACACGCAGGGAGAGAATGTACAAGACACGGATCAAGCGCTGGGGCCTCGACAAAAAGTTCAAGGAGGCTGAGATACTCGCCATGCTCAAGCTCAAGCGGCACCGCAACGCCGTCGGTAAAGACACGCGCTTCGCCATTCGCAACCAGGACGTCGACTGGGGCCGCGTGGTTCACTACCTCAAGCGCAGGCCTGACCTGCAAGACACACTGCGCCTGTCAGCCGCCACTAGTTGCGATAAGTCCGTCGTCCAATGGGATAGTGTTGTCCAGTATCTCAGCCAGAGACCGGACCTGCGGGAGGACCTAGAGGCCGTCGCTCGTATCGACGTCGTCTGCAGGACGCCCTCGCCCGTCCCGGAGCCGCTTGACCCGGAGCCCGGCCTCCGCTTCGCCGACGAGATCCTGCGCATTCTGGAAGGCTTCTTCGACGGCGTCTTTCAGGACGGCCTGTGGGCTGTCGTTGACGGGGCCCTCTGCACCCGCGGCCGGCGCGCCAGCCGCAAGCGCCTCGATAGGTGGTGCCGGATTATGAGCGGCGTCTACAACCTCCTGGATCGCGGTGAGACTGAGGCCGCGGCCGCGATCCTCAAGAACGAGTATGGCTTTATCAAGTGGATTGTCCAGACGTCGGACCCGGAGCTGTCGTACTTCTTGTGCTACAACGTGCTCCAGCAGCCTCCGCACGTATCCGACGTCCTCGTGCCGTATGCCTGCGGTATGTACGCCGCGGTGCTTGGGGAGCGGCACCCCCTCACGCTGATATGGCGGCGTATCAGAGCGGCCGGTACAGCAGACCGTGTCGGCATCCTGAGCAACATAGTCCAGTACACCTCGCGGTACTGGGAGACGAGGCTGGGCGCGCTTAACGTCACGATGAACTGGATCCACGGGCTACATGGTCAGCTCCTTGAGGTGCTCGGGGAGGCAGGAGGTAACGACTTCCAGCGCATAGTATCGATGTACACGCGGGCCGCCGCGGGGTATGCGGACGTGGGACGCCTCAAGGATGAGTGTAAATGCCTCTTCGCGCTGGTCGGGCTCCACAGCACGGCGAAGAGATACGATCTGGCCATGCAGACGCTGGGCCGAGCGTACGAGGTCGTCGAGGAGGTGCGGCGCAGCCACCCGGCCGCCGAGCAGCTCATGCAGATGTGGACGTACGGCGAGATGGGCCAGCTGAGCTACAGCGTGATGAGTGCCCGCAGGTATAAGAAAAATTACGCGCGGGAGCACACATACGCCATAAAGAGATACGGGGAGAATAGCAAAGAAGCGTTGTCGTACATGCTGGAGGATTCTGGTGCGCTGCCTTGTCGGCTATGACGAGCTAATAATTGCGATCAGAGGAAACAAGTGTTATAATGTTTATGAGACCACGACAGATAAAAGACAGACTGCGTAATTCAATCCAACAATACCCCCCGCCCCTTAAAGAACTGGACCATATCTTTTCCGAATCCTTTCGCCAAAAAGATAAAGTCCAACCGGTACGGGAACAAGAAGTAAGCAAACCAATGCCAAAAGGCTGTTTCCCCATCCCAAGCCAAGTGCATGGTACATCTTCAGTCCTCCGAGGGGCATCAATGCTCCGATCAGGGATCGCAACAATATGACCGCAGCAGAACCTGATGCCGCGTATCTCGGGTACGAATCCATTTGATAACTTTGAAGAGACATCTGAACAACCGTTAGCTTTCAAACAAGGCTTCTCAGTTAGGGGGTAGATTTGCCGTTGCTCCTGTCAAACCAAGCGCAAACATCATGGCGCCAATCATGGGGACAATCCAATGAACTTTGTAATGGCTTGCCCATCCGTAGAGTAGCAACCCGGCGGGCATCAACAACCCTGCTGGGAGAGTGATCCAAGGTGTCAGCTTGACCTCAAGTTTGTATCTTCCATCGTCATCCGAATTCCTCTTCGCTCGCAGCACCAGATAGTCTTGTATGTGTCCCAAGCTTAACACCCCGATCATCATGCCCAGATCCGCAGGAAGAAAAGACAGCCCGGTGTCTCCCTCGTCAAAGCCATACTGTGAAGAGTAGACGAACGAAAACGTGGTTACAAGGAGATAGAATATTCCGTAAACAATGCCAACGTAGACCGCAATAGTCGAGACCAGAGGTGTCCGGAACAGGAATTTGAGCGGTCGAATGAGGGCCATCCTGATTCGCGAAGGGCCTTCTGTGTCGAGTTTGCTCCGGAGAGTGTAGTTGCCCGTTGTTTTTCGCATCGCCTTTGCTTTTCGTTCTAGCAAAACAGGTGCGTAGGTCTCCCTCATGACCAAGAGTGCGAGGACGCCAAAAGCCCCTCCCTGTCTCTGTCAACGATGGTCATAACGACGTAGAAGTACCACTTACCAAGATGGCCAGTATCCAGTAGACCCACCGCCAACCGGCTGCCTCGATCAGGTATCCTCCTGCGATCGGTCCAAGGGCAGGGCCTAACAGAGGCCCTATTGCCCATAAGGAGATTGCCCTGCCTCGCTTCTCGGGTTTCATCACGTCGACGACGCTTCCTACTCCGACGGTCGTAGGGACTGATCCAGAAACACCCATCAGAAGTCGAAAGGCCATTAGCATGTCCAAGTTCACACTCAACGCCGCACCAATGCTGAATGCGGTGAATGCAATGTTTCCCGCATGGTAAACATACATCCGCCCGTGCATCTCGCTGAGGGGAGCGATGACAAGTGGACCAAAGGCAAATCCGAGGAAGTAGATCGAGACCACGAAGGTTGATGCCATCGGAGAGCTATTGCCAAATTCCGCCATCAACTTCGGGACACCAGGCGCAAACATTGACGAACCCTGTCTCCAATGAGCTGTGAACAACACGGTGCTGTCTTGTGACTTACCAGAGGCCTGCAAGTCGTTAGCGCTAGTCACTACTCAGGTGATAGACATTACTCACGATATGATTGACAAAATTGACATCACCATTAGGTTCACCCATTTACGCGACTCTGGCCAATTCATGGGATTATCAAGATCGTCGGGCCCGTTCCAGTCGACAATTCTTTGATTTTCAACAGCATCTTCATCGGGGAGTATTTGGTTTGCATATTGTCGATTGCATTCGGGTTGCTGATCAGAAAGACGCGTAGCAGGGACCGTCGGTGAGAAACCAGAAGTCCCTTTTTCGATATCAGAGCTTCCCGCCATTTGGTTTTGTCGATGTTGAATGGTATCTTCTTGGCTGTAACGCGACGACTCAGCGCTGCCGCCAAAGCCAATCTATCAAACCTACTAACAAATATACCAAACAATTGAAGCTATTCCCAACTGTCAATTAAACAATTCCTGACCCCTCAGATTTGATATATTGGGTTGATTTGGCTTGGTATATTATAT